GAATTATCGGAGAGGGCGAAGACGAGCGAGTATCGTGGGAAGACAACATAACCACACATCGCCAAATTTACTCTTAAGCGGTCGACTGCTTAGAGTAATTTTGGGGGGACGTAAAGGGGAGAAGAATATCAAGAGCGTAACTCCCAGGCATCAGATACTCTAGGTCGACTTCTACTAGTCGACTCCACTACGACGACTCTCTGAAGACGACTTCACCACAGAGAGCTAAACCAAGCGTAGCCTCCGAAACCGCACATATTCATAAGTCGACCTCCTAACTCTCGAGGTCGACTCTGCACATCTCGAGAAACAGAACAAGTGAAGACGATTCACTACACTTAAACATATCCGAAGCTATACGCACCACATAGGATAAGAAGGAATCTTGTGATGACTGAGCAACAAGGGGAGACGAATCGACCAGGGCATTTTGGACCTTCTAGGCCCACCGACTTGGGCATTTTGGGCACTTCAAGTAAGTATTCACTCCTATATAAAGGAGATGAGGTAACCCCAAACCATAACTCTCATTCATTCCCACTCTCCCCCATAGCTGCTGCGCAGCCTCATTTCATCACTCTCATACTGACTTGAGCGTCGGAGGCTCTACGCCGGAAACACCTCCGGCGTTGAGTTTTTGCAGGTATCTAGCGGTCTAGTGACGATTCAGAGGCGGTTCAAGCAGATCTGAGCTCGTATCCACCGGTTTACTCCAGATCTAGAAGTAGACCCATCACCTACAATAAAGGTAGAATTCTTAGATGGATCATAAAAGCAAAACAATTTGATTATATATCTTTGTATATCCCAAGAAAAGGAAATTATTTAGCAGATACCCTTACACGAGAATGGAGTCCGTTGTAGTAAATCTAATAGAGAAAAGAAACCTGCTTGAAGACGAAATAAAGCAGTTAAAGAAAATAGTGAGACAGTGTCAAATATAGGCCAACAAAAAAGAAAAAGAAATTCAGGCTATTGATCTAGTTTTGAATCCAGGAAAGGAAAAAGAAAGTGAAAAAGAAAATGAAAAAAGAAAAAGAGGGTAAAAAAAAAAGAAAAAGAGAGTAAAAAAGAAGATGAAAAAGAGGGAAGAGGGTATGAGAAGAACGAGCTAAACCGCATTATGTCATATTCACCGGACCAAACCAAGGAATATATGATGCATGCACTAAAACAACAATTTTTATTAGGGGTTACAATGTAATCCATAAAAAATTCTCAAGCCTTCAAGAAGCCAAGAATGCACTCAGAGATTTTCAGTCCACATACGCAGGAAAGTACAGACGCCATCATCATCCAGTTCATCATTGGAAAAGAAGCTACCAGTTCTTGGAAAAATTCCAAGTCCCAGAAAACTTACCATTTATCAAATTCAGACCAGACAACAGAGAGCAGAAAGCACTAAAGTAATAAGAAAATTATTTGAGGCAGAATATAATTTTCTCCTTAATTACTCAGACAAAGATAAAACAAAAAGTATTTATCCTGTTGAAAGACATTTTACAGGACCTAAAGCAGTCAGTCTACCAGAAGCAAACCCAATAAAAACATATATTATGTTCCAATCAGGGTTACTTAGTTGCATATACTTCAAAAGTACTGATATCTTTCAGTATTTCCCAACCACGTTTACAGAAGCTATTCACCATTATTCTAGTAGTAAGCTTCTTTGTAAAAAAGAAAGATTTATGAAAATATTCGCAACAATTTCTATCTTTTCTGATGAGGGGGAAGTTATACAACCAGCAGTACAATTATGGCAAATTGGTGTTAGTAATGGAAATTATCTATATTTGGGAATAGCAAAGCACGAAGACGAGTTAACACATTATTTGAATAATTATGTGATTCCAGTATCTCCCTAGAGAACGGGTGTCCCCAAGTGCGTCCCTCTATTCGGCCATCCACCTTGGCCTGCAACTGACGCAACTGCTCAGCGATTTTCTCCATCTCTCGATCCCATGGGGCTCCTCTTCCTCCATAGCTTGACACGTCCTCCTTTGTGTCACACTGTGCTGTTACCACCATGTTCGGCACAGTTACAGCACGAGAGGTGTCGTTCGTCACTTGCTGCACCGCATGTGCCGCTATGTTGGCCATCATCTGCTTCATCACCTGCCTGGTCATCGCCACCACCTGTTGACCAGGTCGCTGCTCCTCTCCCCTCGGTGGCGCGACCACCTGCGCCACCACTTCTAACGGTTGAAATCTAGTAGGATCTGGCTTCGACTGTGTGGGTAACACTTTTGCCTGTGTCGCCCGAGCTTCCTACGCACGACTTGAGCCTACCTCCACCACTAGATCCGCCGATGAACCTTCTAAACCTTGAGGAGCAAGTGTTGGGGTTACCGGCGTCTGCGAAGGTTCGAAGAAACCCAGAAGAGGGCCAACTCAGAACGGCCTCGTCGTTGTCCAAGCTTCATCGGACGGCTGCAAATTGATTCTGGAAATTCCGTCCGCCATAGCCACCAAGCTCAAACAACCTCAGGACACAACCTTTCGAACGGAAGTCCCGCAGATAGTGCCAAAATGATACGTCAAAACCTCCGATCGGCTAAAAATAACTAGCTCGAACTCCTCCTTGCCGGTTGAACATCGCGTATCTGCAAAGAACTCTCACAGCGGAGGGGATTTCTAGTGAAGAGCTCTAATGCTTAAGTCAGTCTCAAGCTCTACTCAATTCTCAAGAGTAAAAATAGATAAATCGTACTCAAATCATAAAGCTCACCCTTATATATAGGGGTGATATATGTTTCTAGAGGCTGCCCAGCTGAGTTGAGCTGCCTGCCCAAAGCTGCTCGGACTGCCCTTTCGTACACACATAGTGTGCGTGTGTCAGAAACGGTTATCATCATAGACCAATCTAGTTGCGCCACGTGTCCTCCGCACATGGGGTAAAGAGTCCTCTCTAATCTCTTCGAAGGCTCTTGTTCTCGACCATGCCTAGGTCAGTCCCCGAATTGTTCTCAGTCTGTGAAGTGGTCGATCAAATGACCCTTGACTCGACAGGTCGATCTTCAACAAGATCCTCCATGGGCCTGGGACCGACCTGTTCTCTTTGTGCCGGAATCATCTGTACGCCGTTCTTGTGGTGCTCGACCACAACCACTCTGCTCGATTCTGTTCGATCATGACGGCCCGTTCAATTTGCTTGACTCGTTCTACTCGATTGCATATATTTTGAAATATAGGAATTAATTTTGCTTTTATTATATACTACTATATAATTAGAGTTCACTACAGATGAATAAAATGGATTAATATATATAAGAAAAATCAAGTGTCTATTTTTAAGAGTTTCATGTTAGCATTAGTTGAAAATTATCTGTGATTAGACACAATCTAAGTTGTCTTATGACTCCATGACATGAATTTGTTTAACTAAAACACATTTATATTAAAATGATTAGAGTTTTAGAATTCTTTATAAAGGTTAGTATAATAGATCACGTATGCCTTTTTTTTTTTTAAAAAAAAATCCTTTATATAATTAAGTTCTTTCATTTTTATTAGAATTTTACCATTAAAAATTATATCCAACATAAGGATTTTTTAGTCCGTGCAATTTTTTACAAAACAATTCCTCCGTTTATAATAATATAGATATAGATAGATGTGGATAGATATAGATATAGATATCTACTNTATTTAATTCATACATCAGTTATCATAAATGTGTCTTCTTATTTATTAAATTTAATAACTTTTTTTGGTTGTTCTTCGTTTTTTTTTATATACGATATATCCAATTAATTATCTTTTAACGATATTTGGTTTTGATCCATATTGCATATATAAAATACAAAACAGTGATATAAATCTTTATAAGTAAAATTAAATTTATTTATCAAACTAAATTAAAAAAAAAAAACTAAAAATTATCTTATGAAGCAATAGAAATATATTTATATTAGCATATCATAAAGTATTTATTTAATTGAAAAAATTATATATAAACTAAGTATTAAAATAAAATAAATATAAAAAAAATATTTTAAAAATTATGTCTCAACATAAAGAAGAGATTGAACGTTATACTGATCTTAAGAATAAAATAATGTTAATTATAATTACAAATAATAAAAATAATTATTATATTTCATAAAGTTTAAAAACACATTATAGTAAATTTGTTGAATATTATAAAGTTTAAGATATTTTAAAATATAATAGCTAAGAGAAGAAAATTATGTATATAAAATATTAATCAAACTTGGAAAAATTTAAATTAATTCAAAATAAAATTAGTATATATATATATATATATGTGTGTGTGTGTGTGTGTAGTAGTAGTGAAAAAATATGATTTAACAAACTTAGTGTAAAATATAGGTAATATTTTTAAATAATCAACTTTGTTAATTATTTAATTATTAATTTTATACTTAATGTTTTATCATTATATTATAAAAATAAATTTATTTACTTATTTCTTTTGATAAAAATAATTTATTTTTATGTTAATGCACCCCTATTGTTGCGGACGTTATATTAAATGCATAATAAATTAATTATTCTATTTAATTTTGAAAAAATAAATATATCTTAAATAAAATAGATAATATTTCATACAAAATATTTTTTATAATTTAAAATAATATCAAAAATTCTTTTACTTTGTATTAATTACTTATAATTTTTCTTTCACAATAAGAATATAATTTCTTTTCATTCTTAATTTATTGCGCAATTATTTTTTTCTACAAACACCTGTGTAGTTCACGGGCGTTGTACTAATACATAAATATAGGACTATCCTTTTACAGGGATAGCGAAAACTTGATCGTATCTTTTATCTGATGACTACTAGAGTCGTTGGTATCATCTACGCTCCAAAAGTTGAGCCGCCCTGATAGTTTCGACTCAACAAAAAAAGAAAAGCATTATACAAAGATTTTTGTATATTTCTCTAATTTATATTGTTGTCTCGTACGGTCAAGATGTACAAAGTTATCACTATTTATAGTTTTCTTCATACAACTATACATTAATGAAGTCTTGAATCCTCACTTCATAAGAATCCTCACTTCATAAGAATCCTCACTTCATAACTCCAAACATAGGTGAGTAACAATTCCATCCATGAGTAAATGGATGTTACGAAGTACTTGATGCATATCACACTCCTAATATGTGGCAATACATTTAAGAACGATTTTCAAGTATATTACATGAGAGTTGAGACCCTCCGCAAGCATAATAAATTCCTAGTGCATAGACATTCTTAGACACGTACCCATCAGGTATATATAGTCTCCTTACATATATATAAAGCTCTGTTCATGCATGTAATTAATACTCACATTATTCTGTGATTGACTAATCAGTTAAGCCGTTTGGAGGACCAAACTAAGAGCATTCAATAGGTCGGTGGTGGAAAGCCTCTCCTCTTTCTCCATCTGATACATATATAATACCAACGTTAAATTATGTTTAGTTCCAATCTTACATATATATAAAAATAACTAAATAATAATTTTTGAAAAAAAATTCAATAAACCTCGGCTATAATGGTGATGTCGATCACCGAGCTCCCGAATGGCGTGACCCCAATGTTCACGACGGCCAAATCGAACTTATCGAGCTCGCCAAGAATTTTTCCCAAATTGCCCTTGCCCTTTTCGCACTGGATCTTGAGAAGCACCTTCTTTTCGAAGACTCGTGACTCGATTTTCGGAAACTTTAGCTCATTAGATTTATCATCGATTTGCAACTCGGAGGACTCGTCCGCAGCTTGAAGTTCCTCCAAATTACTCACTCTCTGCTGGAGATACTCTATGTACTTTATTACAGGGATTGCAAAAAGAAAAAAAAGGAAAACAGAAGCTTAATTAATTGTTACCTTGTCCATTTGTTCTCCAGACGCTTATTTCTGTGCTTGATAAGAAGTATGTATATATGTATGAGGGAAAGTTTTGATTTTGAAGCCACTGAAATGAATTTGTTTGATTACAAATTGGCTACTAAATTGATTGGTTCGTACATTTCTAGCTGTATACAGACTTAATAGAGTGATTGTGCCACAACAAGAAGATGGGTCAAATCAGGAGCAGATTCCGAGAAGGGCAAAAATGAACTTGTAATAACATCATGCATATCCATACTCAGATGGAGTAAAAGCTGTACACAGAAATTGGAATATCTTCTGAAAAGCTGGACCAAACAAGGGGCAAGAAGGTATTTGTAATACGTCGAATGAAAGATGCGCTGGGCCAGAAAAGGGACAAGAAGGTACTTGTAATTACATCCTACGTCAGAATGAACGAGGCAAAATTTAAATGGTCCCAGTCATTTTCCATAAAATGTCCATCACATTGGACGTGATAAAAAATGATTCACTCACTTGCCACTTTTCATCAAAATTCGTACAATAGTCAACATCTTTAGTACACTATGTTGGCTATTGTACGAGTTTTGATGAAAAGTGACAACTTAGTAGATCATTCTTGATGACACCCTATATGATAGATCTTTTTTGTAAAATGATCAACATAGTGTACTAAAAATAAAATTTAGCTGAATGAAAGATGCAAAGTAGGAAGATATTTAACTAATTAAAGGCACAATTTTTTTTACACCCCAATATATACATATACAGTAAAACCTCTATATATTAATAATATTGGGACTGGAGGATTTTATTAATTTATAGAGATATTATTATATCGATACGTTTTAACGTACATGCACATTTCACCTTCAAAGTTCCAATTCTTTGAATAACTTTAAGTATACCTGCATAGTTATTGATGAAAATTAAGTTAAAATAAAAATGTACTAGTAGAATTCAATGAACACAAACTTACGTGGAAGTTGGAACGACTTGTTTAAATTAATTAGTTTTGAAAAATATAAAAATATGGCTCATTGACTAACATTTGTGCATTGAATCATGGATAGAAGTCAACACTATATATTTATCCATTGGAATCTTGGTAAATCACACACAAAAATGGCCACTCATCTAAAAGGAATTCAAAAATCAACCATGACTAACCAACAATGAAAGATGTTATGTGAGCATAAGAGAGTTCAAGAAAAAGAAAGTTACATTAGATTCTTATTTTACTAAATTGTCTTAAGAATATTCAAGTGCATCATATATATATATATATATATGGATTATTTTTAATAAGGTTGGTTGGATTAGCCCATTTTTCTATAGGTTATATATTCACTTATGCAGCCTTCTTGATTGCCTCTACATCGGGAAAATTTAATTATTAATTTATAGTTTCCTCGGGAATATATATATATATTGGAATCTCAAAAAAATTATTATCTTATAATTTTATTGATTTGGTCCCAAATTTTTACTGGTCCCAACTTGGGACCGGACAAATTATTAGATTTAGCGAGGTTATTAATTTATCGAGTATTAATTTAACGAGGTTTTACTGTAGTTTCGTTTACACATTATTCCAACAAATATTTCACCCAACTCATGTGGTAAGTAAAGACCCTCAACCGGCTGAAATCGGCTTGCTCACGTGCTACCTCGTCGGTTGAACGCCTTCGACCTGCAAAAACTCTAACACCGGAGGGGTTTTCCGATGAAGAGCCTTCGAGGCTTAAATGAGTATGTGTAGAAGATGATTTGCAGAGACAAAATAGAGTATATGAACATAATGAAAGTTGTACATCTCCCCCTTATATATCGGGGTGAGGTACATGCTTCTAGAAGGTTGCCCAGATATGATGAGTTGGCTGCTCAGGCTGCCTGATAGTACAACCTATTCTGCACAATGTGTCAGAGACGGTTATGAGGCGTGGACGAATAAGGTACTGCCACGTGGTTTCACCCATGTGGGGGTTTAATTTTTCTAATATTCCTTCTTATTTATTAGTCTTTTGTATTAGGCTGCTTAATGTTACGCCCAGCTCTAGGTCAATTGAGATAAGGTGCGGATTGCTCAGGGTCTGAATTCTGGTCGATCGCATAACCATCCGTATCTACAGGTCGAGTTTCTACGAGGTCGTCCAAGGGCCCTAGCTCAACCCGTCCTCGTTGTCTCGAAACTCTTATGCTGTCTTCCAGATCAAAGGCTCTCAATCCCTTATTGGTGATGCTCGACCACCACCAGCTCTGTGCCCAAGCTACTTCCTTAGGTATGGGCCACACATCAATTAAATTCATCACCAAAAAACTCGTAATAAAGGTAGTAGGATTTTAAAATTATCTTAACTTCAAAAATGCACTCCCACTTAGTATTTTAAAAGAGGATCTTTAATATGCAATCAAATTAATTCACTTTCCATATTAGCAATTTAATTAATTATTTAACTTTTTAAATTAACAATTAATTCCCATGCAATTTTAGCAGTGTTAATTAATCACATGCATATTTATGCAATTAATATCAAATAATAGACCATGGAAATAAAATATCCACTTATAGCCACTAATTTAGGATCATTTTAGAAAATTATCAATCCCTTCCTCATTAGGACATATATTCCTTATGGACAAGAACTCAAAAGGAAGCAAACTTCTTCTCCAAGTTAGCCCTTTGCCAAAGTCGCGGCACCGCCGCCTTCGCCAGAATCGTCGCCGTTGCCTAGAAATTCCACTTCGTTGGGCTCATCCTACGCATCGTCGGGTCGCTGCATGAGTCACTCGGCACTTGCGCCGTGCGCGCTGCTGAGGCCTGCTACGTCATCGTCGGGCCGCGCCTGTTCACCAGTGACAATGTCGCGTGGGATGCTTGAGCATCACCCGGTTACGCATTGTACTCGGCACTGCACGAAGAACGTGGTGTCAGTACTCATGAGTCGTCGGGTCTTACGTGAACAATTCGCGATGTCTGTGCTCTACTGGGTCGAGGCTGCGCGCGCACTCAGGACACCTCGGGCGAAGATCACATACACGTCGGGTCGCCACGGCACAGTGCTCCACGAGAAACTCACGCGCTTCCTACAGACATCGTGCACGCTGTTGTCCCAGGTCACTGAGGCCTTCGGAGCCCGTCTCCTAGAAATTTCACGTCCTTGGCTACGGCCTGCGCTCAGTCTAGCGCATTTGGGACATCGCGACAGCGAGCTGTCCGTGGCCTGTGTGCGACTGTGCTCGACTGCGGCCGTGCGAACCGAATTAGGATGTAGGTTGTCTAGGAATGTTTGTTTTCGTGGTTGTCTGGGCTCGTTCGCAAACAACAAATAACTTACATAAAATAAATTACACGAATCCTAGACCCACGGATGGGTTTACATGCCCGTCTACAAAAACAATAAATTTATACGGTGTCCCACCGTGCGAATAAATCTATTACAAGCATTCAGAACTCAAAATTTCTCGACAATCCCGAGGCTTTTAAAACATGCATAAAATTAAAGCATACATACAAGGCCATAACAGTGGATTATCTAATCGCCTGCAAAATCAAGTTATGCAATATAATACAACAAACATATGTCACGCTTTGAACACAATTAATTTATGCACATAATTCACATAAAACCTAAAGATCCGAACTTTGCATAAAATGAATTAAACCAAGTACTCTAATACCACTTGTCGGGGTTCTATGAGGAACGTCGAATTTATGCAAGTCACGGATCTAGTCTACAAAGATAAGCCTAAAGCGCAGCGGACTAAAGTATGTATTGAACACTTACGGCTTAAAACTTTTGTAGACTCTGAGACGTTTCTAATTTTCGTTGATGTAGATCGTCTGAATATCGTAGGATGCTCGAACAATCGTCGGAATTGAATCGTCTTGTCACCAGGTCGCATGTGCGGTTTCGGGTCGCAGACATCGTGTGCGGCATCAGGTCACGCGTGGCTGCATCGCAATCGGGTTGCGGCTGGGGCTATTTGCAGGGCAGTGCATCACGGCTAGCGTTGGGGTCGCATAGGTATGTCGCGACTGGTGCTGGTCGGTGCGGGTTGCGACATAGCTGGCAGGGCTCAGCGCTCGGTGGTGGTCGGCGAGAGTCTCAGGTTTACCTCGGTACTTCTTGTATATGACCTTTACACTACTTTGTTTGTCTTGGTTGGCAACTCACAAAGTTCTCTCTCAATTGGTGATTAAAAATCACAAGGGATTGTGTGCTTTTATAGGCTACAATACAGTCGAAGAAAATGCCAAATATGGGCCTAATTGTGGTCCATTCCCACTATGTTCATACTTGAACGATATATCAGTCCACTAAAGAAATATTGTTGATCTCCCCATTTGGCTCCCAAATTACTTTAGGCTCTAATAATAATTACTCGATTTATCTGCCCGTGTCTAAGATATAATGTCCTTTAATTAGTTAATTACTGATAACATAATTAATTAACTTTCTATGTCGAGACTAGTGCCACTCAATGCTTTATTATTATGTCGAAATATAATCCACTTGCAAGATTTAACATAATATTTCTTCTTGAGCTCATCTCGAGGACATCATTAGACTATCGCACATGGTGACCTTATATATTCGAATAGCACACCATACACACAACATCGCTACCCAAACACATCAGACTATTGACTCAGCATAATGAGTCTCATTTTTAAGTGAATCAAAGTAGCTGCTACTGTATTTTTATGCACGTGCATGTTTAAATCTTATGAGTTAAGAGCTCGTAGTAAATAACCAAGGTCTAGTTTGTTTATCGATAAGTTCAAAACAAACTTATCTTCTCTGGGATCCGTTCAATACACAAAATGTACTAGTGCAACTAGTCATTCAAGACAGACAATACAGTAGCACTACAACCGTTCACGATGGGTTGTTCATTTTCATTTAGGTTATGAACTATATTATTTATGTTTTACAAGTATATCCAAATGTAAAACATCAGAACATATGACGATTTAATAAAACACAATTCTCATTCAAAAGAAAGATAGTGTTAAAAGCCAAGCTTTAAGTATCAGACTAACATCAAGTTCGTCACCCGTCCCAAGGGTCTCGAGGTCATCCTCCAAACTGAGGGCCATCGAGGTTTAACTAAACATGATTTTCATTCAAAAGAAAGATGGTGTTTTTATTACGCAAAAAGTCAATCTTTAAGTATACACACTAACATTGAGTTCGCCACCCGTCCCAAGGGTCTTGAGGTTATCATCCAACCTGAGGGCTATCGAGGTCGTCATCCGTCCTAAGGGTCTCAAGGTAGTCATACGACCTAAGGGCCTCGAGGTCTTCATCATTAATCTGAAGGCTTTCGCGGTCACCATTAGAGCTACGTATATTGACGTATGACAATATTGAGCCCTTGAACCGTTTGGTACCAAACTAGCACCTCTTGATCTATTCGAACCATTGAGACAATCGAACTGTCTAAGCTAAAGGCGAATCGTGCCGACCTAACACTTCCATAGGTTTAACCAACCTATTCTGCATATGCTCTATCAGCAGGCATGTCACTTCCTTTCCTGGTTCAAGTCACCATCAGTCGGTCCTCTAACAATCATGTGCATCACTCTTCTCTATCGAGGAGGTGGCTCGGGTTCCTCCCGGTCCTTACAAACACTTTTATCTCCTTCTCTCTTCTCTTTCTTGAGCTTCTTGTCCTTTAAGATGACTCTTTAAGGTGCCCAGATCGTATTAGCATTTCAATCTTATCCTTGAGCTCCTTACAGTTATCCGTCGTGTGCTTATAATCCTGATAATAATGATAGTACGCCTCAGATAGACCTATAGAGGCCCCATTCTTCCTCGGGATGTGTCTAGGTCGATCCAATAGCCCATGGTTATCCCTCCTATCTATGACCTCGAAGACTTGATCTCGAGGCATTGCGAGAGGGCTATATCCATAAAACCTCCTAGTTTCCAACTCTTCTTGTCTCCTTATCTTCCCTCACGATCTGACCTCCTCTCATAGGTTGGAATCGTTCTTCCACCTTTCTGTGTTTCTCTCATCTCACGTCGAGCTTAAGAAAGTCAACTTTCGCCTCCTCCATGTTGATATATTTGTAGCACCTCTTTTATACCTCGTTGTAAGACCTTGCAGGTCGCTTGGACAACAAATTCTTAAAGGGACCTGATCGCAGCCTTTTGGTCAGTCCTCTTGCATTAACCTCCTCTAAGGTCGACGGTACGTTTACTCACTTCTTGGTATACCACGCCACCTACTCTCTCAAAGACGCTCCATCTCGTTGTTGCATGTTAATGAGCGTAAGGTAGGTCTTTTCATGCTTACGCACACTAGTGAACTGATTCACGAACATCGAGCTCAACCATCAAAAGTCCTTTACAAATCCTGGTGAGAGCTGATGAAACCAGTCCTGAGATCAGCGTAGCCAAGAACACAAGGAAACAAATTGACTCTCTATAATTGTGAAGCACATCCATATTCTCAAAACTCCTTCGATGTTGAGTCTGATCCATAGACCCCTCATATGATATGTTCTAGATCTCTAAACCCATGCGGCATATCCGCATCAGGCTGCTCCTCTACAATGGGGTGCTCGTAAAGCCTAGAACCCATGGGCGGACCTACATATAACTTAGGGGCAGCCATGGTCCCTCCCAAACTTTTGATTTTTTTTACCTAAGTATATATATGTAATATATTAGATTAAGTATATTTAATTATCATTATCCCCATTAACCAATTAACTAAAGATATATTGATTGAGATTATGTGGACTAGAACATGCCAAGACCCATTAGAGAAATATATAGAAGATAAGCCATAAAATGCCCATTTAACTTTCACCTTTTATTGTATTATATTATTTATTTATTAATAAAACTAATAAAACTACTCTAATTAACATAAAGGAATACACTTAGTTCAAGACTCTAGAGATAGAGATAGAAACACACAAAACAGCGGTACCGAGACGTACAACACAGCGGAGGCAAGCTTGCAATGTAAAAAAAATATAACAATTTTGCAGCAACAACAAGGATTGTCGGTCCAATTCTTTGATTCTTCCGAATAATTTGATCATTCTATTATATTTATGAATACTTTAATTTATGCTCATGTTCATAATTTTATTTATTTATCCTTTTTAGGGACTTAGGGTTTAAATCATATGTGTATTAATTCATCATTCTTATATGTATCGACTATTACTAAATAATCTGTTAGCACAGAGCGTGCATATTCGGTTATGGCTATCGTTAAATATAAACTTCAAAATAAAATGGAAGATGACTTTCTTGTAATTCTTTGACTATCTTCGATGAAAGAAAAATTGCAAGATCTGTCAAGTCCATCATCGATGAGTTTCTAACTTGAGAGAACGTTGAATACAATTCTAATAGTTACATTTAGTCCCTCTCAATTAAATTTTCAAAGTTCGCCCCTGCTAGAACCACAGCCTTCCTTGATAAGTCCACAGATCCAGATCTCTAAACCCACGTACATCGTATTTTATGTTTAAATAAAACTAGTACGACACCCGTGTACTACACGGGTTGTTTGAAAAATAAAATATAAAATAATAGAAAAAACACATGTTGTCGTATAAAAGTGAAAAAATAGAAAATACCACCTTTTGTTTATAAAAATGTTAATTGATAAATAATTTTATTTTTCTAATTAATATTAAAAAAACTATTATTGTTATAAAGATAAATATAATTTATTTTCAAGTTATCTTCCGAAGCGTGCGAGCCAACCATTTAGGCTCAACACGTTTTAAAATTATATTAAGGGGAGATTAATATCTCTTAGCCGTGCACTTTATAAGCTGCAGTTATTATATTTATGAAATTTATAACAATCAGATAAATCAATAATTGTATGAATACGTTTATTTTGGTTTTTTGTTGTTTGTTTATGTTGTGTTTAGTGGTTTGTGTGTTTTTGTTTGGTGTTTAGTTTGTTGTGTGTTGTGTTTTTTCTCCTGTTGGGAGCTGAATTCTCCTGTTGGGAGCTGAATTCTCCTGTTGGGAGCTTATGAGTGTGTTTTGTGTGTTAGTTTCTTATTTGTGATCCGATTAGGCTGCCTTGAGGTTGTCCTCCCAAGGATTACAGGCGTGTAGCTGCTCATTCCGGATGCTACCGGTTGTTATCCGTTTGTAAATATTTGTTCTATTTATGAAATTATGCCGTTGGAAAAAAAATAAATAATTGTATGAATACAAAATCAAAAAAATATTTAAAAATATGAATTCGTGCACATTAAAAATATACACTATTCATGAAAAAATTGCATCGACCTAGCAATATTCGTGCAAATAAATATTCATGAATAGTTGTTACAGTTCAATAAAACATTCTTACTTTTCTATATATATATTATTTTAAAATATTTGTATGAATATTTTGAAAAATTGGTTAAAATATTTTCATGGATGTTAATATTGATTTTATTAACATGTTTAATTTATACATTATAAATCAAATTTTTGTATACATAAAAAACCAAGTTATTGTAGTTATATTTTTATATGTAGGGTAAATTTATAAAAAAAAAATTATAACATTGACATTCTAGATCATCGAGTTTATGAATATAATCGAGATTATGAATATGTTATTATAGTATTTATTAAAAAAAATAAAATAATATTAAGCAATATGGATAGTAAAAATATATTATAATCCAAAATATATTATAATATTGGTATTGGATTCTTAAAGTGTAATTTTTGTGGTTCAATATATTATAACTTTTTTTGATAATATTTTTGTTAATATTTTGAAATATATATAATTGTCTTGATAATCATAGAATTGAATTTGTATCCGTGATAAATCAAGATATTTTACACATTATAAATCAAATTTTTTTATTTATGATCCAAAATATATTATAATATTGGTATAGGATTCTTAACCGTGTATTTTTTGTCGTTCAATATGGATAGTTTCACACCGATTTTGGCAAAGATTAAGCAAAAATATATTATAATATTAAGCAAAAAAAATCCTATTTACCGCATATAATTTGAAATTATATTAAAGGGGATGAATATCTTTATACATTATAAATTAATTTTTTTTATTTATAATCCAAAATATATTATAATATTGTTATAGGATTCTTAACCCGTGTAATTTTTGTGGTTCAATATGGATAGTTTTACACCGATTAGATTAAGCAAAATTATATTATAATATTAAGCAAAAAAATCTTATTTACATTGCATATAAGAATCCTATTTATTTTGGAATTGGAGGGATCGGATTAAGCAAAAATAATTTTTATAAGCCGAAGCATGTAATGTTGTCAAGTAAGGTTCCGAATCGTGCGAGCCAACCATTTAGGCTCAACACGTCAACACGTTTTGAAATTATATTAAGAGGATGAGATGAGATAAATATCCATATATTTTGCAATAATTCTATAAATCTCATTCCAAATTAAAAGTAATTTTAATTATTTAAGACGTGGTCGAACCAATCAGAAGCATTCATATTTAAGTAAATGTGATACAATTTTTATTTTTATTTTTTTAACAATTCACAACT